TGAAGGCAAGAGCCTCCACCAGCAAAATGATCACTACTGGCGCTATTGTGAAACTCACCTTATTACAGTGGTCTGGAACGGAAACCACAGTATCTCTATCTAAGATGTGCCAGTGGGTAACATTTGGGGAAAGGTAAAACTATAGAAAAGGTGAGAAGAGGCGGGGGAAGGGAGAAAGGGATGTGTAGGCAGAGCACAGAATATTTTTAGGGTAGTGAACCTATTCTATGTGATACTATAATCGTAGACAAGGGTCATTTCACATTTGTCCAAATGCAGACCATTCAACACCAAAGTGAACCCTGACAGATGCTCCGGACTCTGGGTGACGATGATGTGTCAGTGGAGGCTTGTCGACTGTATCAAATGTGGCCCTGGCTGGGGATGTTGACAGCGGGGGCGGCCACGCACAAGTCGTGCAGGAGGGATATGAGAAATCTCTGTGACTGCCACTGGATTGTGCTGCGAACCTGAAACTGCTCTAAAAAATAAAGTCCATTCAAAAATTAAGTCAAGTCTTACCACCTTTGTTTTTCTCTTCCTTTGATCAGAAAACTTTGGGGTGGGGGTAGAAGAGGCTACAGACACAGCTTTTGTTAGCGACACCCACCGGGAGCGTCTCCCTTGACCGAACACTCCAGAGAGTGTCTATACTATTTGTACTGTTTCAGAAATGAGGAATGAGGCTTAGGGATTAAGTTGAATCCACCTGGAAAACCAGGTCGGCCTGACTCGCAAGGCCGCTGTCCCCATCATCTCCCGGTACAACGGTGCACAGCAGCTCCCTGACGGAAAGGTAGTGATAGACCTCCCAGCGCTAGCTCTCCTTCTGAGCCTTACACTAAAGAAACTGAGACGGTCAGGGACCAATTCAAAGTCAAATGATTGACAGCAGTCTTAGTGGTCTCTGCTCTAGGAAAAACAATTTCCTGTTTGATTCATGATAGTATGCCCTTAAATCATAGCAGTTACATTCATTTCCTTCTGCTTTTCTAAAATAAAAACTATATTAATAAAACTATAAATAAGGTTTCAGCCAGATTATTCTTCTGTCTTTAGAGATGAACAGTGGACTGTATTTCCATTCTCTGCCAGTAAGGAAATAGTTAAGTCTTGAGGGTACACCCTCGTGGATATCTCCCTTAACCATCTAAAGAAAAAAAAAAAGGTCACAGTCGGTTACTCCCGTTAGACTCTCGTTCACTTGAACATCTGTAGGCACACTTACACACTGTTTACCATCAGCCTTCGGCTTGCCACGGTCAGAGCGGGCAGTCAGTGAATCCTCCCCAAGTGCTGCTGACATTTAATACCTGGTTTAGCGGCAAAGATTCAGAGAGGGTAAGCAGCCCTTCTGGCATTCAGGTAGGTCCAACGCCTTCATTTCTACCAGAGCTAAAAGACGGGTGTCTGTGTTTGGCGGCGTTATGGGAAAGACCCATTCAGCAGTGCGTTAATTAACAGGTGGACGAGATGTCCAGATGGGAAAGGGATGATGTAGAACTTGGAAATGCTGGGGCTTTCTGGTCTCAGGCTGCTTCTAGGATGCTTCTCTAGCCTAAGTATCAGAGAAAAGACCTGAGTCTTGTTTTACTGCCACACCAAAAAAAAAAATCAAATAATGTATTCCTTAAACCTGATTAACCCTGCAAGATACGGTTAATTCATGCACTAAATGACTGCAGTTACCTGACGTCACCTGCTATTTTGGAGCAATCGGGAAAACACTGGCGACACTGATCAGTACTTTTCAGGCTTCAGAGCTCAGTACTTTCCTTGGGAAGGACAAAGAGTCCGTTCAGACACAGGAAACTACAAACCCAGACCTCACACTCTCGATCCCCTTTTGAGTCTCAACTACGCCCTAGCTTCACGGTGCATAAACGAAAATCTCCCGCTGAGAAACGGTAGCATGGGGTTGGAGAAACTGTATAAATTTACTGAGCCTGTATTTCTGTCTTTTGAAAAGAATCTTTAATGCATTGACTTTGAAACTTCCTGCAGTGGAAGAACTGTCTTCTTTTTCAAAATCTGCCTGTTTTTATCTAGCCTATTTAAAGAAAACCTATTAATGTAATTCTAGAATAACCTTTTAAAAACTCTTACAAAAAAAGATGTGACACACGATCATATGAAAACATGGAAAATATACAATTTAGTTTCTACTTTAGTGAAAACTAAGTTAAAAAAGCAAAATTTCAAAAACTAAATAAACACTGCAAAATAATATAAAAACACTTTCAGTGTTCCTGTTTATGCTTTAAATATAAAAGTCATAAGTCATCTGGTTTACTATGGGTTACCTAAAAATTAAGTACACAAATATTTGAACTGTGTTGCAAGAGGAGATAATTCGTCTTAATGGTAATAAACCTTAGCACTGTTTTAGGTCCCTGAAATTATGAGATGTGGCAATAGCAGGGCATCACCGGGAGAACAGGTCAGAAATCTTTAGGGATCCAAGCTAAGCTACAAAACACGAGTGGTGCTCCTTACTCCCTGCCCATGAAAACGTTTCTGTTTAATCTGCCATAATTAATTCTGTCATAATCTCACGATGACAACCTTAACATGAAGCCAACAGGCTGCAATGAAAGTACTTTTTTTTTTAAGCTTGCCGTTTAAAAGCAAGTGTTCCTTGGGATTGTGCACCTGAAACCTATACGATTTTGTTAACCAGTGTCACCCCAATAAATTCAATAAAAAGGAAGAAAAGCAAGTGTTCCTGGTGTACGTGCACCCTGGACAGGTTCCTGTGTCTCCCAATAATGGTCTCTGTAAGTGTCTAAAACAAACAGGCTTTGGCTTTGGCAGTCTCTCCACCCAAAAGTGGGCGATTCCCTGACAATCGTCACACAGCGTGCTGAGTGTACCCCTTATGGTTTGCATTTACTGAATTGCATTTCCTCTTAGTCCCTATGGAAAGCATTTTCTTCGATGCACAGATGCCTTTTCTTATGTATACTTGGATAAGCCACAGATAAAGAAAACACGAACACTTGCCCACGTTAGTTCGAAAGCAGAGCAAGCTGCCAAACCTACAAAGCAGCGTGGTCTGAGGAAGAGACTTGCTTTCATAACTTTAACAACAGTCCCTCTCATTCACCATTCATTTCTCCCTTGGTTTAATAACCCACAAGACGATTATTAAAATACCATATCTTAAAGACTCTCCCAACTAAAACTAGTAAGTAGAAAAGATACTTAGCAATTAATTACATCTGTCTACAGAAGTGCTTCCAGGCAAAAAGCCCCACCAACATCTCATTAGACTGACCATAGATCCTACCTGGTCCAAGGAAGCTTTGCAGGGGGATAAAAATATAGTATTAACACTTATTGAATACTTACTAAGTGCCAGCCACTGTGCCATAAGATTCACATACACAGGGACTCACACTATCCCATATATTCTTCAAAACCACCCAAGGAGTAGTTATTAATATTATCCCCGTTTTAGATAAGAAAAAACAGGAGAAAATAACTTGACCGAGACGGTACCAGAGCAACTAAGTTTTAAAGCCAGGACTTGGACTCAAAACAGTCCAACTTCCGAGTTTCCATATTCAATAAGAAGTTCCAAAAAGGGTAACAGGAATGAAATATTTCTAAATACCTAAATCGAACTCGCCACCAGCACCTCCATTGTATATGCTTATCCAATTCTCTCATTAGTCTAAAAAAAAGTATCAATCTATACCTACTGACTGGATTCCCAGATCCTAAAGCCCTCCAATCATCTCCAATACTATAAACATCATCTGCCATGTCCCACAGGTAACTGTGTACTGACAACCTTACTTTTGATAAGTTCAGCATAATCATAACTATCACTTACCTTGTGCAAAGCCCTGTTCTAAGCCCTTTACGGGTACTAATTTACTAATCATAACTTAATCAAGCATATGAAGTAAGTGAAATTATGGTCTTATTTTACAGATGAGGAAACTGAGGCAGAGAGAGGTTAAGTGACTCGCCCACTTTCATGTACACAGTGGCAGAGCCAGGATTTTAACACAGCCAGTCGGCTTTCAGAAACCACATTCATAGGCACTGTTTTAGGAAGTACATTAACAATTTACTCTTCAAAGGCAATGAATCTGTGCTATTTTAATTCCTTTATCCTTTGGTTCCTAGGACTTCTTCCGCAAACAGGGAGGCTGTTTCTCATTAAGGCTCATCACGTCTCTCTAAGGTAGGTGATAATAACAAAAATAAAAATGTATGAAGCTTACTCCATCTGGCAAATACCCCTTTTAAAAATACTATAACATAAATATTGAATCCTGAAAAATTCTGGCACCTCTTTGTGTTTAGTGCTTGCTTAGAGTTACTAAAGAATTACTTCAAATTTCTTCAGCTGGAAAGATAGGTCTGAAATAACAGCCACTAACTCTATCTTCCTAAAGGGAGAGAAGAGGGAAGACGTGAGAGGGAGGGGAAGGAAGAGAGATAGTTGCTTAGGAATCATCTCTGCTTCGCTAAACGCCTGAAAACCACAGCGAGAGCAACTTTAGAAAAACAACGGGCCTTTGACGTGGCACTCGAAAGTCTACCGTATTTTCATTACTAAACACAGGGCCGGTAAAAAATCACTACCAGGTAATTTCTCCCCAGTGGTCCAGGTATTCCGAGACTCGTCTTTCAGTTCTGCAAAACAGTCACAGCTTTTCTAACCTCGGTGCCCGCACCCCCGCCCCGAGCTCCCTGCCCCAGCAACTTTGCTCAGCGGTTCTGCTCTGAGCGGAGCTACACTGCATCCACACGGCATCCGGGCAGGAGTCTGCAAGGGCACCCCGGCCTGGCGTCCTTCAGGCTCCGGTTTCCAGGCAACCCCACGCTGGCCGGAAGAAGCTGTGCGTCCTACCAAGTTACCAGTTTAAAAGTCCCCGGGAACACCTGGGCAGAAGGCTGCCGGAAGCTTCCCCAGCCCCTGCCACCGCCCCGGTGCAGCAGACTTCCCATAACCCGGATGATGGGTCTGTGTTAGCCCCTCTCACCTCCCATTCCCTAGTTTTTCGCTTTGGTTCCCATCTAGTCACTTCGCACTTTCGATGACCTTTTTCAGAGAAACATCCTAGGAGTCTTCCCTCCAGGAGTAACGAAAACTACCACAGCCACACAGCTCATAGAGAACTGATTCCTGGGAAATGTAGTTCTTTCTGCCGTTAAGTGGTGAGTCTTTAAGGAAAAAAAGGACTACAATTCCCAGAAATCCAAAGGAGGACTGTCCTGGTCCCCAAGATGTGCCTGCTGCTTGGATTGTATTAGAAAGGAAGGTTCTGTGGCTCGTTGCTTACCTAAATACCTGGATTTTGCAAATTCAGTCCCACTACAATCTTGTGGGAGAACTTTTTTTTAAACATGCTTCCTACATGGGAGGGGATCTAAATACAGCGATTTATCTAAAGATATAGTAAGGATTTTTTTTTTTGGTAATTCTTTCAGATAAAAGATCTGTCCACGATCAAAAAAATATGTCACTACAGATGATTACAGTCGGTAATAACATAGGCTTAATCCAACCGGGCTTCTCACTGATGAATTTCGATGGGCAAATTTTCTTCTTTGGTCAGAAAGGCTGGCCCAAGAGGTCCTGCCCCACTGGAGTTTTCCATTTTGATGTAAAGCATAACCATCTCAAACTGAAGCCGGCAGTTTTCTCTAAGGATTCCTGCTACCTGCCTCCTCTTCGCTACCCAGCCACTTGCACATTCAAAGGCAGTTTAGAGTCTGAAAAGCAACAATACATTATCCATGGGGGAAAAACACCAAACAATGAGCTTTCCGATAAGATTTATGTCATGTCTGTTGTGTGCAAGAACAACAAGAAAGTTACTTTTTGCTGTACTGAGAAAGACTTGGTAGGAGACATCCCTGAAGCCAGATATGGTCATACAATCGACATGGTGTACAGTCGAGGGAAGAGCATGGGCGTTGTCTTCGGAGGGCGATCGTACATACCTTCTGCCCAAAGAACCACAGAGAAGTGGAATAGTGTAGCTGACTGCCTGCCTCACATTTTCTTGGTGGATTTTGAGTTTGGGTGCTCTACATCATACATTCTTCCAGAACTTCAGGATGGGCTAGCTTTTCATGTCTCCATTGCCAGGAATGATACCATTTATATTTTAGGAGGGCATTCACTTGCCAATAACATCCGCCCTGCCAACCTATACAGAATAAGGGTTGATCTTCCTCTGGGTAGCCCCTCTGTGAATTGCACAGTTTTGCCAGGAGGAATCTCTGTCTCCAGCGCAATCCTGACTCAAACAAACAGTGATGAATTTGTTATTGTGGGTGGCTATCAGCTTGAAAATCAGAAAAGAATGGTCTGCAACGTCATCTCTCTTGAGGACAACAAGATAGAAATTCGTGAGATGGAGACCCCAGATTGGACCCCAGACATTAAGCACAGCAAGATATGGTTTGGAAGCAACATGGGAAATGGAGCCATTTTCCTTGGCATACCAGGAGACAATAAACAGGCTGCTTCAGAAACATTCTATTTCTACATGCTGAAATGTGCTGAAGACGATGTGAATGAAGAACCAAAAACATTCACAAATAGTCAGACATCAACAGAAGACCCAGGGGATTCCACTCCCTTTGAAGACTCAGAAGAATTTTGCTTTAGTGCAGAAGCAAATAATTTTGATGGTGATGATGAATTTGACACTTATAACGAAGAGGATGAGGAAGATGAGTCTGTCACTGGCTACTGGATTACTTGCTGCTCTACCTGCGATGTGGATATCAACACGTGGGTACCATTTTATTCCACTGAGCTGAACAAACCTGCCATGATCTATTGCTCTCATGGAGATGGGCACTGGGTCCATGCCCAGTGCATGGATCTGGCGGAGCGCACACTCATCCAACTGTCAGAAGGAAGCAGCAAGTATTACTGCAATGAGCATGTGAAGATAGCGAGAGCATTGCAGACCCCAAAACGAACTCTACCCTTAAAAAGGCCTCCACTGAAATCCCTTCACAAAAAAGGTTCTGGGAAAGTTCTTACTCCTGCCAAGAAATCCTTTCTTAGAAGGTTGTTTGATTAGTTTCACGAAAGCCTTCCAGATTCCAGTGCATCAAATTTTTAAACCTATCTTTAAGAATCATAGTAATGATAAAGTTATATTCCTATTTTCATTTATTGAAAATGCCTGTGTTTTCTTTTAGTTAGATGAATTTAGTACCAGTAAAAAGTGTGTATAATACAATGGTACATACTTGAAAATACTTTACTCAATATGTGTTTAATAAAATTTCCTGGTCTGAATTTTTCCATTCAAGGATTCATAAATAGAGAAGCAGTAATAATAAGATAGATAGATGGATATATAGATAGATGGACTCCATTGAAATGAATAAATAAAAAAGGAAGCTGTGTCAAGTTTGTTATATTTTTATCAGGGTATCTGCATGTACTTTCTTCAAAGCTTTCCCCATCATATGGTGTACAAATGATGAACCAAAACCAGTCACTTGACCCAATTCTTGGAGAGGGTTAATGAAAACTGATACTTACCACTCTGATAAAAAAAAATGAGTGAGAGCATGTGCCTTAAAAAAAAAACAGATTAATAAATCACATGGAGAACAATAGCATGGTTTATTTTCCCAAATAATAAAAGTTTAAATTTTTTTCTAGAGTTACTAGGTAGAAGATTTCAAATGGGGAAAACACAAATTTCTGTATATAGCTAGTTAATACATAGGGCTTGCTACCAGTGAAAATTATAAAATCAGTGAGCTTGCTAAGGTTTAATTAAATACTTTCTAGAATGAAAGTTAAAAAGACTATCAATTTTTGAGGCTCCAAGACATCAACTGATAATTAAGTGGCCTTAGAAACAAATATCTTTCCTCCTGAAGTATTTTTCTGGAAAAGCATTTTACCTTATCCTAAGAGCCTAAGCCTCTTACTCATCAATCTTCAGTGAGAACCCACAATGTATTAAGGTACTACAGCAAAATCTAGAAATACATGAGCAATACAAAAGATAAAATCCTGGAACGAAAGTTCTTCTGCTAACAGAAGATACTTCTGCAGAATTTTAGATACTAAAATTAACCTGAGTAAACTAAATCATGGTCACTTTGTTTTAGTAATGTTATTTGATGAATATTCCTTTTGAATAATTTGCTGTGCCATTGTTCGTATATTTTTGTTGTTATTGTTTCTGTCACCTACATGAAACTAATAAAATATTAAAATGCCTTCTGTTCAGATTGATTTACTCCAATCATTAACATTTACAGTTGTCCAATTAAGCACAGTAGCATACTACTTAGTTTTCTCAGGATAACTTTAATTTCTTTTTTAGCTGTTAGTAGAAATGGGCATAAGTTAGAGCTGGAACATCCTTCACAGAATTCCAAAGAATTATTCCCTAGAGGGAATAATTCTGTCTCTACCTAGAGGTAGAGACATACTCCTATCTTGATTTATCTACAGTCACTGAGTGGCTAAAGAGTCACTATCACCATAGGTGTTTTGTAGCCAATGAGATCAAGACATGGGGTCCATAATTAAACTGAGCTCTTACCAGCATAGCTACTATTGGCATGCATGTGAGCATTGGGGTGGGGGGGGGCAGGGCAGGAGATATGTGTTTTAAGAGTAAGTACTTTGGTTTTACTTACAATATATTTGAATAAAAATAGGTCATTTCATGTCACCTCACCATTGAGTTCATCACATATGACTTTCAAGACAATGAGGCTTCTCTACTAAACATACACAAACATTGAAATGAACCACATTAGAAGAGTACTCATTTCTTCCAAATGGTAAACTGGTTTTGCCTAACACACTTCTAGGCTTACGGTTCAACCACCTTCAGAGCCTATGGTTCATTCCTTTGAAGATATTTAACAGTTGTTGCTGCTCCATCATTGGAGATGAAGTTGGATTCTGGAAACAGATAGATGTCACACTCAAGAGAAAGCAGGTGTAAGTCTCAGTATTACATTACTGCTTCAGGTCAAAAGGAAGTCGGAGGACAAGCTGACAAAATGGGCTTTCTGATTTGGCTCATAAATAGCTTCTAAGGTAAGTCCCAAACTGTTTACATAAGAATAATATCAAAAAAAAAGTATATGACTTTCCAAGGTGACTATTTTAAGGGACCACACTCATCTACCAGTACGAGTTTACCATATTAGGAGAAGAGAAAACATAATTAAAAAGAACTAGTTAGGTCAAAAAGTCCTGGGGTGAGATGAAGCATAGCATGTTTGAGGATCAAAAGTCTGTCATTGGGAGATCAGTTTGATCAAAACACAGCAAACAAGGAGAGTGTGGAGCTGCACAAGCCTGGAGAGACAGGCAGGAGCCAGGGCTCTGGGTTTTGCAACAGTAAAACAAAATCATGTACAACTTTATTCACATCACTTTGACCTGTCTCCTCCTGTTTACTTCTGTTTCACTGTTCCCTACATACTTTGGGCTCCATCTCCAGAAATACTGAACTGACAGCATTTCTAGTGAGCACTCCTCATTGTTTCATTACTCAGGGTCTGTGAACAACCGATTCCCTCTGCAGGACATGCCTTCCCTCTTGCACTTCATGCCTCCTGTGAATGCCCCGGTCCATTCCTATCCACTCTTCACATCCGAGTCCGAACAGCTGCTCCCCCAGGAAGCCTTCTCTGAACCCATCACCTCCATCGCCTCCTTGATAGCTGTAGTGCTTACAAATCTCTGCTTCTATCCTCAGAAGTACAAGAAACAAAAATATTTTTTCTCTCAACTCACATTATGTTATGTGACAAAATTTTACTGTGTGACAAAATTTTAATTTCAATAAATTTAGGCTCTCCCTCTTTACCTAACTTTTTAGCCAAGTTCCAGAGAGAAATATACTGCTAAGTTGTCAGAAGTGGGAGGGGGGTGAAGCACTGGTCTTTGGAGTCATCATCCCTCCTCACTAGCTCCTGCTACAGCATCCAAATTCCCACCTGGCCTGAGGGTACCAGCTTTGAAGATGACTCCGAGTTGCACCACAGCCTGAACCACAAGGCATCCTTAGATCTCTCTCTCTCTCTCTTCTCTCTCTCTCTCTCACCTGCTTTCAGGTCCCAAGAGGGCTCAAGACCTGATAATGCAGAGACTATTCGG